TTTATATTTTAGTAGTTATGCCCCCCCCCCCCCTCCCCCCCCTCTTCAAAAATGGACTTTGGTGGTTCGGGATAAGAGACTTTTGTAGTGTCTTTCAGTTTTTGAACATGGCCGGAAACACTACCGCGTCTCCTGATGATTTATAAAATCTAATATTCTTCTCATTCAAAATCAGGAACGAAAAGGAGATACCTTTTAAGCTCTGAAATATTCAAAAAAGCAATTTATTAACGCGAAAAGTTGCTATTTTATACCTATAATTTATGTATAGATATGTCAATTACATATGTAATGTAAAATGGAACATATTCAATATATTTTCTCTAGACGCAAGTGCATTAGTTGCATGAATGTTTATACAACACGAATTATAATGCATCGATCGTTGTTCATCCATTGAAATATTTTTCTACTCTAACTCAAAAGATTGATGATTTTTAGGAATTTTTTGAGAAATAATAAATAATGATTGCTGCAGGAATTTTTTAAGTTTCATGTTTAACTGTATGTTGTATCAGAAACACACCATTTTTTAAAGTCATATATCATTATTCAATAACTTATAATTTCATCAATTTCAACGAAATTTAAAATATTTTCCGAATATATACCTAATACTTCCTAAAAATTAAAAAAAAAAAAAAAAGAAAATTGATGTCTTCTAAAATATAGAGAGAGAGACTCTTTAATTATTATTTATTTCAAATACTCTAAATAATGATTCTACAATGTGTTATACGAAGAGTTAAAGGAGTTCTCTGAACTAAATGTAATGAAAATACTTTTAATTTTCTCTTGTGCTTGCCTGCCATCAGTTAATCTCTGTAATAATTTATCTCTGTAATAATTTAGGATTGGAAGTTTAAGAGAAAATTTTGGATCACTTGCTTCTCATGCACAGAATATAAAAGGAAGTTCAGAATTTTCAAGAATTAACTTTCAGAGCTACGAATAGATAGCGAAATCTTGTTTATCATTAAAATACAAGTTAATGCAAACGGCGTTTACTTAACAAGGTAACTAGTACAACATCTAGTATAACACAGTGCAACGTCATGCAATACAATAGCTTGTTGCAAATTTTATGTAATCAAATTGTACATCTCTTTTGTTCTCAGTTCTTTCTTGTCCTTACTAAAAGTGCGACAACACGTCTGTCACATAAATTAATTTTAACTGCTATTTGAATTACAAACTATAATTAAAATGTAATCTCGTATATACGAGAAATAATCAATGTCATGCCAACATTACGTGACATTTCATAGCAAACTGTATATAACTAAGTTGTGCAACTGCTAGTTGTTTTCAGTTTCTTCTACTTGCTAAAAGTGTAATAGACGTTTGTCGCATCAATTTCTGGAATTTTTTTAATGCAAACCTTTTTTTTCTCTTGGAACAAAAAAGTCGCATATCACTAAACGGTATTGAAATACGTAAGTAAATTCATGCACATTTTCTGTTACACTGTATTTTATGCAATTTCATAAACAAGGCTTTTAGATAATAAATGCGCTGCAAATAATTTCCTTTTAAAGTAATTGCCAAACAAAAGCGAACGGGCTGATACGACGATGAGAATTTCAATCAATTTACATGTTTTCAGAGAACGAGATTGCGAGTATACAATTACTATCCAATGCATTTTAAGTGTATTTATTTGCATAAACCGTTTCCTAGTTTTACTAGGAATATTTATCTTAGAGTCCAGATGTTGTAGATGTTAGAAATACGTTAGAATTACGAATCAATGATGATACGTAAACGTTCATCATGTATAGGAATGAATACAAAAGCTTTTGTCGCACCATCGCAACACTACGAGCGCAAAGAATCGGTTTCATTTAAACGTACAACGTTACATATACGCGAGGAGAATTCAGTTCATGTCATCACGTGTGAATTAAAAACTCTGGAATAGACCGCCATTTCTGCGAGAGGCAAATATATCACTATGTAATTTGCAAAAGAAAAAAGAAGAGAGAGAAAAGAGATAGAAAGGGCGCGACAAAGGTAACTCGGTTACGACGACGGAATATCATTAACAGAGTCTAATGAATCCGTTCGCAATTTCGTGTTCCATAGAATAGCTGTCCAGACTAGAAGGATTAAGTAAACAAGAAGATTACTCAGATATAAATTATTCAGGCACATTACATAGCTGGACAAGAATGGTAGCTGTGGTACATGCAAAAATATATCCTCCCGAGCTTTCCACTAAGTTATCTGCCCTCATTTTCTAGACCCGAAAGATAAGTACGCGTCTTATCAATGTTCATAAAGTATCGTAAAATATGATCACTATTGTGCTTCCTACGACAAATCCCTCACATTATATGAATGACCGTGCGAATTGGCTTAATGTAGGTATCGCCTCTAAACTGCAATTATACGAAAGAGCACTCGAGGCTATCTAGTGTTAAATTAATTTTCATTTGACATACACAAGAGTAGAAAATTGGGATGCGATTGCGAAATACTCGTTATATATTGTTGATTACAGCTCGAAAAGTTCGATCTCTAATTAGTTAAACTAAATAAAATGTAAGAATCGTATAGATAATCAAATATCCGAATATATATATTTATTTATTTTTTAAAAAAAGGATCAAATCGTGCGCGATATTTCAATTTTTCTTATTAAATTAAGGACACATTTTTTATCTTCCTATATCACTTTCTTTTAGTTCTCTTTTTCTAAGTTTATATTAATCATTAATTTTCTTAAAAAATTATCTCGTTTCATTATTTGTACCAATAGTGCTATCAAATCATTAAACCGTTTCTCATTTTTTTCAAATCATCCTATCGCAAAAATTATTCTTGGTACCTCGAATTTGTCTTCGTCTGATCTTACGATAGCATCTTACGATTGCTGTAAGAACTCGATTTAAAAACGATTAAAAAATTCTTGAATATGATGATTTATATATTTAGAACCAGTGAGGAACTAAGAGCAAGAGCAATCATATTTTACAAAACTGTTGCAAAGCTGGTTTTTCTACTGAACGTAGCCATTATGTTCGCAATTTTAACAATTAACGTTGCGGCGAAAATGACACAGATATCGATATTGACATGTCAACGCGTGTTAGAAGTGAATGTCTTCACGATGGATATTCGTGATGGATACACCGAGCGAGAGAAAGCGGCTTCGACGAGCGCGGTTATGACGGGTCACATGCTAAAGGATAATCACGCTACGTGTATCGGTACCAAAATGAAGCAGGTCCTAATGAATAGAGCGCGGCGAGAACGGTTGACAAGGATGATGTTATCGTAAAAGCAGCTTCTCGCAAGCGGGAAACGCGGGAAACACTTCATCGTATTTTATCGTACTGTCTCGTATGCGTCAAAGCATGTTGCTTTCCGACATTAATCTAATGTAATAAAAGAGCGGTGTCAAAAAAATCTTTAAAGAGCGTAGCCAGCGACACGTACGTCGTATTATAAAATCTATCTGTCTCGACGGATAAATCGCTTAAACGGTTTTGATATCGGAAATACTTCGACAGATACTGGACGTTAAAAGGATAATGTTTAAAAGGATTTGCGTATTGATAGAAGTTGGGAAATTCAGAACAATTTCATTGCTTGTTTCATTTCAATACTTCGCGTTGTCGTCTTACTGAAACTTCCGGTGCGCGTGTCATAAATCCGTTTCATCAAACCGTGACAATTGTAGAGACGAGAAATCAATTCTTCAAAAATAAATCGTGAAAATCTTTTTTTTTTTACCTCTCTCTCGCTCTCGCTGTAATGTCATTATTTAAAATGGCCAAAATATCGGTTGATACTCAAACGAATAATAATATGTAACAGACGCCGTATCGTATCGCCCGTTGCAAGGCAGATTGCGAGGTCGCGTGATCGCTGAAATTGTTCTTCTGTGCAACGTTGTGATGCAAAATAAGTAATAGCCTCCCTGTCGGACGCAATGTGCGTGTCTTTCAAATATTTCAACAAACGTATCCCGTTCGTTCAAACGATATTAGCTCTTGGAGAATATACGAATTGTGGCTGATCGTGAGCCTTCAGGCGGAATAACGCGGAATCAAATCCGTGTTAGAACGGCGATGTCTCGCAATGAGACAGAGAGAATGTAACTGGGACGCGTGTATGAAAACTTGTATGTTATTTCCCAGAGGGCTAAGCCCTTCCTTCTCCCGTCCAATGGTTTTAACCATCAAATTTTTCAAATATCTTCAAAGATCGCTTTTACGCGATTGCTGCATGCAGTGTTCTCAAATGTCGAAACGTTTGTTATTTATATTTATTTTTATTTTTAATTTCACTTTTGTAAATATATTGCATCTGTAAGCATCAACAACTGGCTTGGCTCTTTGGCCTTGTTACTCTAATTTATTTGAAGTTCTCAAATGTATTCCATCTCTCTGACGAGGTAAGAGAGAATTTTAACAGCTACTTTAATTTATACACAAACGGAGATAAATACATTAAGAAATAACTCACGCTCAGATCCTGTAGATTAACACAAGTTGTGTAATTGCTCCATATTTGATTTGATTCAGGATGCCGAAACCACGTGCCATTCAGCTCGCAGTATTTATGCGCCATCACTGTAACAGAAATTATTGAAATATCAATTTTCACGATCATTATGACTGATATTGTCGAACATTTATTCAAAATGTTGATTCATATCATCGTGGCCAAGCTGGTGAGTTGAAATCAGAGTGACATTTCTTGCTTATACATTATGAAAATAATTTCATTAGAATATCGTGAGATTCTCAAAAACAGATTGTCCAATTGTTCGAAAGCAATTTCCGTTACTCTGCCGAAATACTCATCTGATTCGATCTTGATTAATATCGTTAATATCATGAATAATGATTTTTTCATAACATTCATCACAACGTTTGTTCTGGAATATGATTTCAACATTACAAATTGTCTGTAATATCTGAGGATGGCTCGATATTGAGGCCAAAACATGTCATATCGTGCAATGACTGTAATGTAATGTAACAAATTTTATTATATAGATTATATGTATATGTTTGTAATTAATGAAACTTGAATTTGACTCTTACATGTCCTGTACAATTTTGTTGTTGATTTATGTAAGTAAATAATAAATAAAAATAGTTGTATTCGCTATAATTGCGATTGCAGTTAGTGAATAAAAATATTTATTTTATTTAGTATTTGTATCTTAATATTTATTACTGTATTAATATTTGAAATTATCATAATTTATGGAAAATTTTTTTATGTCTAACAAAAAGAACTATACGTATAAGAATCCCAGATAGCACTGGACATCCCAAGGACATTCCAATTTAAGTCCGCATGTTCATGGACATAAAATGGACGTCCATGGATATCATACGGATGTCCTATTCGGAACTATGGATATCTGCATTTGGATATTACTTTTATAATATATTTTTTTATACACATTTTCATTATGTTCTTATTATTTACAATAATTATTTTGATTGAGATCTACTGTCAGTGTGTGTGTGTGTGTGTGTGTGTGGTTAATATAATTTCAACGTAGCATATTGTTGTTTAAGAGAAAAGTAAAGATGGAAGAAGAAATATATACATATATATATATCTCTTGACGTTATCTGCGTAATCATCCACAAAGTTACGTTCGTTTCTTGTCGAAACTCGTTCAAACTTTTCAGTGAAACAACAAGCTAATTTAAAATTTTCCGATGCAGAGTAGTTTGCAAAAACTACGCTAGCGGCGTTGCATCAAGAATCAAGAGCCGACAGTCCATCCATTAAGCGGATAGAGAAGCGGGATTATTCCCTTCTACGAATGCGCGGTTTCATAGTTCGCAGATAAAACAAAATGCAAATTGAAGTCCACTTCTACGAAACACCTGGTTCAACTTATCTTTGGGAGAAATGTACTTTAATTCGCGTAAAACCTTTTAGCATTTTAATGTCCTCTTTGCGCTCTTTTCCAGACTTAATTAGCTAATAAGGTACGAGTAAATATCCGGAGTGTACACAAGAAAAGCTAATCTGTGTAATTACATTTCTGCTTGCCCGAAGCACGCGATCTCTGATCTTTAGTTCCCACAAATAGAATGACGCAATGCTTGATTCTCAAATGGGCATACATAATATGTATAATTTGTAAAATATGTACAAAGATGAGAAAAATATTGTAGATGGTAGAGATACCAAAGTCATACAAATTTTTTGAATTTTTCAACTAAACTACATTAACGTATTACATTTTTTAACACCTCAATTAATTGGTTGTTCTAATTTTTATTATTTGTTGTGCAATTTAACGAGCGTTATTTAATAGTACATTGTGTAACGAGTGGGAATTAGTTGTTCATTGCGCGACGGGCGCGAGCGTATGAGCGAAGCGAATATAAACTCCCACTCGTTGCATATAGAACTTTTCATCACGCGTACGCGTGATGAAAAATTTATTTGTTCGCATATACTCTTTGTGCGCTTTTGTAAATATTAGAATTAGAAATGTATTTTTTTAAACATACATATATATAAGGACTAGAGATGCTGTCCAGAAAGAGACACGGATGTAACAGTGACTCATTACATTCTTGTTGTTTGCCAATGTCAAATAAAGATAAAATGATCATTGTGTCACACTGTGTGTTTATTATTGGAAAGCATCACTATTCTACATTCTGTGATGTGATCTTACCATCCATATCTTTAATGTTCTATTTAAATTAAAACTCTTAATTAAATTAAAACACTGTATCCTATATTTTTCTATTTATCTTTCTATTGTACAATTGTGAATAGTGTAATACATACATTTTAGATGGCGAAGAATAATATATTTAAAAGAGTTTTTCAATGAGTTATTTTGAAAATACTACGTGCATACACACAAGAGAGAAATCACTCCAACAATAAATGATTGTGTCGGTGAGCGTAAAGCAGCGATTAAACTCCGGTCGTTGTAAAGAGAGTTATGGGGAAAAGTACATTACAAAGATGCGACCGCGAGAAATGATCGCACGCAAGAAAGTCTGAACGATGCAAGCCTTTTCTCGAATATTATAGTATACCGTAATTCGTCGCAAATGGCGCAAAAGCAGAATAGCGTTTCTCGTACATATAATACAAATGCATCGCGATACAACGTGGGTGAATAATGCGGCGCAACTTGCTTGCGACAACGACGGAATATTAGAACACACGGATCGCTGCAATTCTACCCGGGCATGTCCAAACTCCAAAGCTGTATCCTGGTATAACAGTGCACAGCATATCGCCTTTGAGGGAAATCAATTTTCCCTCAAATATATCCAAATTACGTAACCGCGCGTCGTGGAAGCAATTTAAACCTGCAGAGCTATTTTAGCTGTTGCAATTATTTTCATTCCATAGCTTCGTTTAGACTTGCAATCGTGTTGCTAATTGTATCATTGGTCGCGTTCAGCAGACTCAACTGTTGCGGAGCGGATCCGTGAGCGCTCACGGATCCGCTCCGCAACAGTTGAGTCTGCTGAACATGACCATTAGCAATGAAATTCACGTATATTTAATACCTTCATTTGTTCCCGTATTGGATTACAGTATTATCTATAAAAATACGAGGACAAGTTAATAAGTTTTTAGAAAAACATAGTAAAACATTTTTTTTTCATCGATTTATTTTTATTTCTCAACATAGTCTCCTTTCAGCTCGATACACATGATCCAATAATTCTCCAACTTTTTCAAGCTGTCCGAATAATATGATTTGTCCAACCCTTCAAGGCCCTGTTTCATAAGCCTCTGTTTCGGCGATGAACTGCTCTCTGGTGGTGAATCTCTTTCCTCCGAACCATTTCTTCAGTTTTGGAAACAGGAAATAGTCGCTAAATCTGGCGAATCCCAGCGCTGCTTGGGAAGAAATTCGTAGCGGAATTCGTAGTGTTTTGAATTTTGACCATCGGTGCCGGGCACGTGTGAACCCATGCATTGTCTTGATGGAAGAGCTCTTTCTTCTTTGCCAAATGGGGACGTTTTTTCTTTAAAATGTTATTGAAACGATACAATAAAGCTGCTTAGTAATCGCCATTGATCGTTTGCTTCGACGGAAGTTATGAATCGATATGAATTATACCGCGTGCATCCCAAAAAATTGTGGTCATCACCTTTCCGACCGACTTCACGGTCTTTGTCTTCTTTGGAGCTGGTTCAGCCCGGTGAAGTCCATTGTTTTGATTGTTCCTTCGCCTCGGGTGTAAAGTAATGGATCCATGTTTCATCTATAGTAATGAATCGATGCAAAAATTCATATCGATAATGGATTACGTTGAAACATCTCCAAACATTGTTTTGAAATCGTCACACGGTCGCGTTTATGGTCCACAGTGAGCAAACGCGGCACCCATCTCGCCGATAGCTTTTTCATAACCAATTGTTCGAGCAAAATTGAAATCACTGTGCCATGTGATATGTCTATGGTCTCAACAAGCTCGCGCACCTTCACTCGTCGATCAGTCAAAACAATATCGTGGACTTTATCGATGATTTCTGGCGTAGCAGTCTCAATTGGACGTCCCGAACGAGGTGCATCACATGTGGATGTACGACCACGTTTAAATTCATTCATCCAATTGTATACAGTCGCAAACGCAGATGTGCTATGAACATTATCCAACTCGACTTTGATTTCTTTCGGCGTTAAACCTTTCATATGTAGATGTTTGATTACTGTACGAAACTCGTTTTTTTCCATTTTGCAAAAAAAATATAAAGGTTGTTCGCTTTAATCGTCTATAGAAATAAAACCTCTCAATGAATTTCACTCAAAATTTGACGGTAATCAGCTGAAAGATGCTACTTGTCAAAGACAAAAAGTAAGATATATAACATGACACTGCGAGTGCCCTCTGACAGATTTTCTAAGAACTTATTGACTTGCTCTCGTATATATTTTTTATAATATATATATATATATATCTGAAAAATATAGTCGTATATAGAAAAATGTTAAGAAAATCCTTTTTGATAATTTACTGAGTATATCTCGACCAATATTCTTGTTTTATTTATGTTCTTTTTATCTTATATTTTTATTAAAAATTCTTTTTTTTCTTCTTCTTCCCTACTTCAATAAATCTCTCTCCATGGATTCAGTTAAGTTAAAGCAACTAAACTCCTTTTTAGTTTCGTTGCAGCAGCTGGTGATGCACTTCGCAAGTTTTGACGGAAACAAGAGTCTACGAAACGCCGAAGGAAAAAGTTTGGTATCGGAATATTTTTCCTCCGAAAAGAAGCGACCCCGGTTCGCGAGTCATGCAATCAGGCAACCATTTGTTCACAGTCGAGAGAGAATAATTGTACATATTGTGTACTAAATGACTAGTCCGAAGAAAGATAAAAAGGGTTTATCTAGAGATAGCAAATTTGCTCGTTCGCAAGTTTTATACTATGCAACCGTATAGGTACATTTAATAATCTGATAGATAATGCAAGCCGCGAATCGATATCATACTTCAATATCTTGGATATCAAATACTTTTAGCTGAATCGAACAACTTGGTGAAACTTTGTTAATATCTTCATAGTGCTCGCGTGAAAGTTCCGATTGTTGTTTCGCCGATACATCGCGCTA